TTCCATCTTCTTTTGATGGTTCCGCCATTGTTCAATATTTCCGTAGAATCCTTTGATATGGCAACTTGAAGCTTGATTTTTTTTTTTCTTCCATATCATTCAGCTTGAGAAATGCCTGCTATGTTCTTGCCTTTTAGTTTTCTAACTCTAGGTCTTTGCACATTTCATTATAACACTTGGTTTAGCTTCTCGAGCTGCCCTTTGAAGTCTTTGGTTCAGCTCTTTTAATTCATCATTTCTTCTTTTTGCTTTAGCTACTCTACATTTAAGAGCAAGTTTCAATGTCTCTTCTGACATCTAATTTGGACTTTGATTTATGTTCTGGCTTTTTAATGACCTTTTGCTTTCTTCATGTATGATATCCTTGACGTCAGCCCACAACTCATCTGGTCTTTAGTTATTTATGTGTTTAGTGCATCAAATCTATTCTTCATGTGGTCTCTAAATTGAGGTGAGATGTACTCAAGGTTGTACTTTGGCTCCCTTGGACATGGTTTAATTTTCTTCAGCTTCAATTTGAACCTCCACATGAATAGTTGTTGGTCTGTCCCACCACTGATCCCTTGCATTATTCTGACTGATGATATAGAACTTCTCCATTGTCTGCCCAGATGTAGTTGATTTGATCCCTGTGTATTCCATCTGGTGAGGTCCATGTGTACAATCACCATTTATGTTGATTGAAAATTATGTTGTTGAAAAAAGATATTTCCAATGAATAGGTCGTTTATCTTACAAAATTCTGCCATGCCATCTCTGACATTGTTTCTATCACCAAGGCCATATTTTCCAACTACTGATTATTCTTCATTCCCAACTTTTGCATTGCAATCACTAGTAATTATTGATTGAATGTTTGATCAATTTCATACTTCAGAAGTTGGTAAAAAATCTTCAATTTCTTCATCTTTGGCATTATTGGTTGGTGCATAAATTTGAATAATAGTCATATTAAGTGATCTTCCTTGTAGACATGGATATTATCCTATCACTTCAAGATAGATCTTGAAATGTTGTTTTTGACAATGAATGTTATGCTGTTCCTCTTCAATGTGTCCTTTCCAGCACTATATGACTGTCTGATCCAAAATGACCAATACCAGTCCATGTCAGCTCAATGCCTCTGATCTCGATCTTCAAGTGTGCCATTTCATTTTTGACAACTTCCAATTTTCCTAGATTCATATGTCATGCATTCCACATTCCAATTATTAATGGATATTTGCAGCTATTTCTTCTTATTGTAGTGAGGATATAGCTATGAGAAGAGAAGACCAAGTTGCTGCTTGGGCAAGCACAGTCGTATGGTGGAAAATGGAAGCTGGGCCTGAGGTGACTTCTTCCACACAACATAAGAGAAATAGATTTGAAGAACAAGCCTTGGTGAGAAGGACGTGCCATGCTGCCCTACATACGTAGTAATGATTCAGCAGCTCCTTGATGTCAGGCACTAGTTTGGTTTTGACAGAATAATCTCTGCGGCCACACAGCTTCCAGTCTAGTAGGGCACAATGGAGATATAGCAGATGAACATATGTATACCTGACAATTTCAGGCTGCAGGAAAAGATGTGAAGAAAATAAAATAGGGTGATATGATAGTGGCCAAGGGGCTTCTTTGCATGAAGTCATCAAGGAAAACATTTCCAATGAGGGTTAGTTTCTTAGACCTGAAGGATGGGAAGAGGCCAATCTTGGGAAGAGCCACAGGAACCATGTTCAAGCAAAGGGAATAACCAATGAGAAGGCCCTGCATCATGAACAAGATTTGGTATATTGAAAAAACCTGTACAGGCAGTCCCCTGGGTTAGGAATGTCTGACTTTGGGACAACTCCTACTTGTCCTTTAATGTTATGTAAATTTTCCCTCATTTTGAAGTGATTGAACCAATCCCTAATTGCAACAAATTCTTTATCACAATCACTTTCACTTGCTGCATGCACAGCTTTTAAATCATGGAAAAAGCTTGAAGCCTTTCCTTGCACTAAAACCAAAAACCAAGCCCACTGCCATCCAGTTGGTTCTGACTCATAGTCGCCCTCTATGACAAAGTAGAACTTCCTTATAGGGTTTCCAAGACTGTAAATCTTTACAGAATTAAACTGCCACATCTTTCTTCTGTGAAGCAGCTGGTAGATTTGAACCGCTGACCTTTAGGTTAGTACTTGAGTGAGTTCTTTAACCACTGTGCCCCCAGGGTTCCTCTAACACTAAAGTAAAGCTAAATAAGAACTGTATGCACCTGTTCTGACTTATCTACAAATTCTTAAAAGACATGGCTAGGAATGGCTTGCATTCGGAACTCAAGGACTGCCTATACTCATCCATGAAGGAAGACTAGATGATTGGAACAAACTTGGCAAAAGGAAAGGAGGTCAGAGAGCTTGACTGGGCCAAGACGTAAAGTCTGCAGGAGTTGGGTTGTATTCTGAATATGATGGGGAGTGACTGGGTGGTTGAAAGCAGGAGAGTGCTCTGCTTACTCTGGCTATAGTTTGTAGAATGCACTGTAGCAAAGGGTGCAAGGCAGAGAAAACTTGGGAGGCTATCATGGGGGTCCAGGGTGGACAGGAAATATGGAGAGGTGCACAGATTCAGGAGAGGTCTTTTAGGAAGTTATAATAGCACTGACAAATGGATTTGTTGGGGGAGCAGGGTGAGAAAAGTATAGGGTGAGTCCCACTGTTCCCTTCAAGTGCATGGTGATGCCCTGTGCTGAGATGAGGAGACCGTGGAAGGAATAAATTGGGAGTGGTAGGTGGGATGATGTGAGCATGAGTAAAGACCAAGAGATCTACTTTGGTCACATTGACTTTTAGGTGTCTGCTGACATCTGAGTAGAAATGTAAAGAGTTAGGGGAACATATGAGCAGCCATCTCAGGAGTTTGGTCTGTTCTGGAAAGAAACATTTAGCACTGGGTCAGATATTGAATTTAAAACCTAGGGACTGGATGGACTCACATATAGAGAGTGTGTAGAAAGAGAATCCAGGGGAGAACTCTGAGGCTTTTCCACACTTGAGAAGGAGCAGTGAGGGAATGGCTCTGAGGTAGGAGACTGGTCACACACAATGTGAGGAAACTGATTCTGGAGGGAGCAGTTAGTTGTCTCAGGTGATGCTGAGGGGCTGAGCTACAGAGAGAAGTAACCATTGGGTTTAACAGCCTGGGAGTCATTGGCAATGTGGATAAGAGCAATTTAACTTGAGTGGTGTTGACAGAAGCCCCATTGGGTTGGGGTGTGGTGTCAATAGGAAGTGGGGAAGTGAAGCCAGGGAGGGTAGCAATTCCTTGAGAAGTTTTTCTGTAAAAAAGGGAACTAAGAACAGGTACACTTGCAGAAAGCAGTGTGGAATCAAGGAAATGAAGACAATTACTAGATAAGTATGACAGAGGAAAAAGGGCCAGAAGTGTTCACAAGATTTTAGAGAAATGACTTAGAATCAGTGGTGTTTTTAAGCTGTTCCCCCAAGTTACAAGTTCAGTATGCACATGCCCCTAACACTCTGATGTGGGAAGATGGCTCCAGGGGGCACTGAGTCTTCCCTTGGGCTTCAGAACAAGTGAAGAACCCAGATGTGATTCTCCCCAACCATGGCAACTGGAGGCTGAGCACATAGTTGACTGGCCATGAATTGGTTGACCTGATGATTAATTGATTTAGTCATTCAGTGAGCAAACATCTCAGAACACCCACCTTGTGCCAACTACATCTCTAGGCATTGCAGATACAATTCATTGAAGGAAGAGTCCCAGTGTGGTACAAATGGTTGACATACTTGGATGCTGACCAAAAGTTTGGTGGTTCATGTCCACCCAGAGGCACCTTGAAAGTAAGGCCTGGTGATCTACTTTCAAAATACCAGCCAATGAAAACCCCATGGGGCACAGTTCTGCAGTGACACACATGGTGTCACCATGAATCAGAACTGAATAGCCAGCGACTGATTTTTCCCGTCAAAGGACCTTACTGACCATGAGAGGCAGGGGCATCTACAAGCAAACTCCTGGGGATGAGACATGCAGCCCAATGCCAGCTTAGATGCAGGATTCTTAGATGCAGGATTTATCCATGTACAGGAGATGTCAGTGTGTCAATGCCTTGAAAAGGAGTGGGGGCTGGGATCGACAGGAGACCATCTCTGCCCACAAAGCCATGTTCACAGGAAGGAAGTGAAGTGAAGGGAGGCGAGACCATGGAAAAGGTTTGCAGAGTACCCGGGGGCATGTGAACGGAGCTGACCTTGAAATCTCCAATGCTATGGCAGCTCCAAGGCAAGCTGAGCCAGAATTAGGAATCTTCTTCAGTTGGGATACTCAGGATTCTCTGGCGGTGCTCAGTGACCTGGGGGTGAGTAGCCTGTGACCTTCCTGAAGTGTGCACCATGGGAAGGCTCTGCAGCTGTGAGAAGGAAGGCCTCTGGGCTGTGTTTGGCTGCTTGTTAATGACACATTGATTAATGAGCCCTGATTTTAGAGATACAACTTGTGGGTGTGGGTTAGGAAGACTCTTCTGCTCATAACGGGACTTGGCTCATCTTCCCACCTATCCTTTGTGACCTTGTGCAAGTCATTTTAACTTTGCTATGCTTATTTTCTTGAACACAAGTAGGAATTGTGTTTGTTCTTACCTCACAATGTTGTGTTCAGGATACAAAGAAGTAACAGACTCTGCAAACACTAACTCATTTGTGGAGGAACTGCTGGGGGTAAGCTCTAGGGCCACATGCTCTGGGTTCAAATTCTGGTTCTATTTATTACTAGCTGTGTGGTCTTGGACAGGTTACTTTGTGCCTCAATTTCCTAATCTTTACAATGGACATAATAATAGTCCCTGCATCCCAGGTTCCTATGAGATCTAACAAGGGAGTCTGTAAATCACTGAGAAGAGGCCCGAGGTCAAAGTAAGCTTTAGGTGCCAACTGCTGTTCAGAGGACAATGCGTTCAGATGTATGAGGCTATGTCTGCAGCTGTGTGATGTTTTAACTTTTCTTCCCAGTTCCGGCTGGTGGTGAAGACAGCCCTGAAGCTGCTGCTTGTCTTTGTCGAGTACTCGGAGTCAAACGCACCTCTTTTAATCCAGGCTGTCTCTGCTGTTGACACAAAAAGAGGTGAGTAGTCCCACCCCCTTATTTCATCAAGATAAAAATGTCTCATGTAGGAAAGCTTTCACATTTTGTATGTTTGAGACAGAATAAGTGGCTGTTTCATTCCCTGTGGAGTCCCTGGGTGGCACAAACGGTTAAGCACTCAGCTACTAACCAAAAGATTGGTGGTTTGAGTACACCCAGAGGTGTGTTAAGGAGCTCTGGTAGCACAGCGCCTAAGGCATCTGACTGCTAACCAGAAGGTTGGTGGTTCAAATCCACCAGCCACTCCACAGAAACAAGACTGGGCACTCTACTTCCGTAAAGATTCACCACCTTGTAAACCCAATGGGGGTCGCTATGAGTCAGAATCAACTCGATAGCAGTGGGTTTGGTCTTTTTGGTTTAGAGGTGTTGGAAGAAGGTCCTAGCTGTCTACTACCAAAACATCACAACCGTTGAAAACCCTGTGGAGCATAGTTCTAGCCTGCAATACACGGATCTGCTATGAGTCCAAATGGATTGGATGGCAAATGATGTATTTGTTTGTTTTATTCACTGTATGTGGACTTCTTACTGTAAGGACCATATTTCTTTCTTTCTTTTTTTTTTTTATTTTAAGAGCTTGTTTTATATTCAGTGTAACGTGCACATTTAGTTTCATTCCCCATTCACCATGTCCAACCCACAACCCAGGCTCCTCCCCTCCCTACCCTGTAACCCTCCCCCTGTGCCCCTCATATTTATGCACTCCTGTTTGTCCTGCATTTCCTCAGTTTGAATGTTGGTCCTCTGGTGTCCCATGGTCTATTGCTCTAAGGGATGTATTACCAAAGACTATGTGGGTGTGTCATCCTGGATTGAGTGGTCTGCATGCACATCTTGTTAACTATTGGGCTGAGAGCCTGCCCCTGGGGGTGAGTTTTATTCCAGGGCCATAGTATTGGGAGTCTCACCGGATTTCATCTGACCAGTAATTCTGGTCATTATTGAGGTTTTGGATTTTGTTCCACGTTTTCCCTCCCACTCTATCCAGGATCTCCAGATTTGATCCTTTCTGTAAGGACCATATTTCTTAGAATAATAAGTACCTCACTTACTGACTATATCATTATCCAACACTTTGCATTTACAACAATAGTAAACAACTCCTACCTGGCTACTTTGCTCATTTATACGTCTGGCAGTAAAGAATGCCAAGGTGTGAGTTGAGAGTAATGCTGACTGTGGTGGTTAAAGTTATGTGTCATTTGGGCTGAGCTGTGAGTCTCAGTGGTTTGGCAGTTATGTAATGATGTAATTTGGCAGTTATATAATGATACAGTCATCCTCCATTTTCACATAATGCTGATTTTCACACAGTAACCTGATCTTTGGAACCCTAACCATATTGATCAGTGAGGAGTGGGTGTTTACAAAGACTAGGGACAGAATGTGCTTTGACAGAGTAAAGCACTTATGGATTTCACAGGACAAATCAGAAACTGAACTTTATCTTCTCACCTCTTCCCCTACCACTTGGAATCAGTTCCTTCTGTTTTCCCCATCTTATCTCGGGTTACTCTGGCTTCCTTTCTCACCTCAGATCATACTTCATCAATTCTGATTCATAGGTATTGCTTGAACCTTCTCCCTTGCTCCCTCTGTCCCTCTTCCTGCCTTCCATCTCATTGCCTCTGCTTTGCTTCAGGCCTTTGTTATCCTTCACCCAACAATCCCCCTGTCACTCCGAAGTGCTACCTTAGCCTCTGCTATTAGAGGCATTATTCTAAAACCAAAATTTGGTCATATCAGTCCCCATTTAAAACTTCCCAATGGCTTCCCAGTACCTACAGTATAAAGTCCAAACCCCTATTCCTGACTTAGAGGATTCCTCACCATTCAGCCCTTGTTTATCTGCTGTCCCTGCCTCCTGCCTGTTCTGTATCACACCCTCCCCATCTTGGGTCACATGCTCCTGTGCTCCCAAATCCCCATGTGCCCCTCTTGATGAGCATACAGTAAACTGTGGCTCTTGTAATATTGTGAAACATGAAGTTAAAGTGCTGGGTGTTTTGTCTTGTCTTGTCTTTGTTTTCGTCGCCAGTAGGAACTAAAGATTTAAATAAAGAACAAAAACTTGATAATATATGTTTGTTTTTTATTTTTGCAATGATAATGGCAATATTAAATACAGAAAATTTGGGGAAAAGTGTTGAAAGATGGCAATAAGAAACCTTCTCTAATTTTCACCAGACAGAGAGAATGGCTGTTAACATGTTGGTATTACGTGTTGGTGTTCCTTACGGTTTCATGTATGTGTGCATGTGCATGCTTATGCACACATCAACTGAGATCTTACTGTCACAAAGAAAGTAAGGGCCTCAATAGTACCCTTTGATTCAAACCACATGTGTCTCTGACTCAGCATTGCTCAGAGACCCAGCTTCCAGCCCTGAATCCAAAGGGAAAAGAAAGTAGCTTACTAGCAATGGTAAAAGTTTGGCTGTAAGTTAACAAAGCTATCTAGGACCGTAAAATGAGGCTTCTATAACTTCCCAAATACACAGGCAAACATCAGCACCAAGTATAGTCAGTCAATTCTAGGCCAGGAAGCACTCTAGGTCTCTATGTGGGGTATGTGAGGAATACAAACTCTAGTACACAGCCAAGGCCTGGGCATCTAGGGGTGGATCCCACACTGGAGCAGTTTTCTTTCTACCATAGCATGTTGCTATCTGATGCCGCACAGGAAGACCCTTATGTTCAAGAGCAGATCATAGGGTCAGTTGAGAATCCTTAAGACTACATGTCCATTTGTGCATAAATGGCTCAGAAATCAGAGCTGGCTTTTCCAAAGCCAATTTAATTAGGTTTAGGGTCAAAGGTGGGTGTTTTGAAAGATCAAGGGAGATGCTTTGATTCATCCTTGGAAGATTCATTCTCCATCCTCATACTCTAAGACTTTCTTTAGGACCATTAATGGGCTCTTTGTCTTCCTGTCCTAAGTTTCACATAACCCGTGAACCCTTGTCATGAATGGAGGAAGACAGTCGTCTCATGATATTTGGTTTCTCCTTTGACTTTATTGAGCTGCGAGCTCGAATTTCCTTCTTTAGATGTCACATTTCATGAAGGGTATGATATAGGGGTTAAGGAGCAACCCTGAAATAAACTCAGGTCTTTGTATCCCACATCCAGAGTTCTGTCCACAGGCCCAGCCAGAGGCACTGTGGGGCCCTGAGTCACCTTGCCAAGACAAAATAATGGTCATCTTTTCCCAATTTGTTAAAAATGAAACTTAACTTTATGGTTTTTGCCTGTAAAATTTTGCAAACTTTTGGCAATGGTTATCATCTGTCTGCACTGAGCATGAGCAGTTGAAAAAAGAAAAAAAAAAAAGCAATAGCACTATGGAAAAACTCAAATAGTTAATCATGTGTGGTTCAATAGCATGTTTCTTTATGGACCTGTGTGGTCTTGGCTGTGAATTTGTAATGCATACATATAACATCATCCTATTTTACTGCTAGTAAAATTGTTCCTGAATCATATGATGAAGTTAAACATATAAATACGTCATGGTGTTCTGCAGAGAGCAACATGATTTCCAGGTGTGTTTCCACCTAGAAGCTTTGGAAGCAGCTCTCTAAGTCCCTCTCAACTGGGTGAGAAAGCAGACAGAGATACCAGAGGTGACTAAAGGCAAACTGAGCATTTCCATTCATGCATAAGTTTATAAATAAACTGTAAATTTTACTCCTCAAAGTGGCTTTAGATGCATTCCCCTGGGGTGGTGGTAGTGGAGAATGAATATGTTAAAGTATATGCTTATTTTTAATAGACAGGAATTCAGAAACAGTCTGATTTAGGAATTAGGAGGAAAACCAATAAACAAGATATAAGTCCTCAAAAATCATCATCACCTAAAGCAAAAGAAAGGATCCCAGAACAAATTTCTCTGATTGCTTTATGAGCATTATGCCTGCCACACATGGGTTAACCAGAGAGTTCATTCTGTGAGTGTGGACAAGTGCCCTTCAGCCAAGAGTGGGCTGGTTAGGGAGCAGGGATAAAAGCTGAAGAGCTCAAAGTCCATTGTAAGCCAGTTACCACTGAGTCGATTCCAAATCATGATGATCCCAAGTATGTCAGAGTATAACTGTACTTTGTAGGGTTTTCAATGGCTTGCTTTTCAGAGTTGCCTCTGGGTAGGTGTGTATCTCTGACCTTTCAGTTAATAGCCAAGCATGTTAACCTTTTGTATTACCAAGGAACTCCTAAGCCCACCATGTTGTTGCTGCTGTTGTGTGCTGTCAGTTGATTTCAACTCACAGTGAACCAATAACACAGCAGAACTGTCTCCCAAGATTTTTCTAGGCTGTAATCTTTATGGATGCATGTTGCCAGGCCCTTTCTCCCTAGAACCACTGGTGGGTTCAAGCCACTGGCTTTTCCATTAGTAGCCAGCTGCTTAACCATTGCGCCACTAAGTTTCCTTAAAGTCCATCCTAACCAAAAACAAACTCGTTGCTGTTGATTCTGACTCATAGCGACCCCCATTGGGTTTCCAAGACTGTAAATCTTTATGGAAAGCAGACTGCCTCAACTTTCTTCCATGGAGTGGCTAGGGGATTCAAATCATCGACTTTTTGGTGGGCAGCCAAGTGCCTTAACCACTCTACCACCAGAGCTCCTTAAAGTCTGTCATAAACCAAACCAAAAACCAAACTCACTGCCATCGAGTCAATTCTGACTCATAGTGACCCCTCGTTAGGTTTCTGAGGCAGTCTCTCTATGGAAGTAGATTGCCCAGTCTTCCTTCTGAGGAGTGGCTTTGAACTGCCAGCCTTCTGGATAGCAGTCAAATGCCTTAGGCACTATGCCACCAGAGACTCCTAAAGTCAATCATAGAGACTAATAAATATTTGTGAATGCATGAAACTAAAAAATTACCCCTATTTGGCCCATACACTTGATACTTTTGCTTGGAGGCTGGAATGAAAATGTGGATTTGAGATACCATATTTTTTCACATATAATGT